AGAGCCCGATGAGGGGCTCGAACTCATGACCAGTGAGATCATGACCTGAGCCGAAGTCGAACGCTTAACCGACTGAGCCACCCAGACACTCCTGGTAACCACTTTTCTACTCTCTGGCTTTCGTAAAAAAAATTTTTTTTTTAATGTTTATTTATTTTTGACAGAGAGAGACAGAGCATGAGCCAGGGAGGGGCAGAGAGAGAGGGAGACACAGAATCGGAAGCAGGCTCCAGGCTCCGAGCTGTCCGCACAGAGCCCGACGCGGGCTGTGAGATCTCACAGACTGCGAGATCATGACTTGAGCTGAAGTCGGGCGCTCAACCAGCTAAGCCACTCAGGCGCCCCTCTACTCTCTGACTTTCTAATACGCAGTGATGGTGATGAGCACTTCACATGGTGCCAACGAGAAGCATAACAAGCTGATTTAAAGCAAACACACAAAAGACCTCCTGGGAAGAAATTTCCCTGTACTTAAAACACATACCTTCTTGGATTTTACCTTTTTAATTTTAAAAACTACATATCTTTTAACGCACAGTTTTAGTAATCTATCTAAAGAAATAGTTAAGCACGTGTTCAAAGATTTCAGCTGCAAGAATTTCATCTCAGCATATCTACATGGTCCAAAGACTGGACATTCCTAAAACGTCAGCTGAGGAAAAACCGATTAAAGAAATCACAGTATATCCATAAACAATCATGTTATCAGCAAATACTGAGGTGGGAAATGTTCATGGTATACTACTTAAAGGAGAAAATATATAGAGGCAAGTTGTATTATACATGTAAATCATTTCTGCGTGAAGTTAATAAGGATGTGAAGGTTGTGTGTGTAAAAAAAAAAAAAAGTCTATGATAATACAAATCAAAATGTTAACCAGTGAGTCTGCTTGCGAGGCGGGATATATAAGCACCACAAAGCTGGAAGTTTCCATTTATTCTCTGCTGTAAGTCTAAAGCACAGAGCAGTGCCTGGCACCAGGGAAACATAAAATAAAAAATGTTACTGTTGTTTTTGCTTATTTCTGTTTTCTCACTGATCTGCAATGGAAACATTATTTGCATGACACATTTTTTTTTAAGATGCTGCTTTTACAAAGAATAATTCAGTGATGAAACAGAATGTTTTACAAATAGAAATGGCACTAATGCCCCCTACCTTGTAGGGTAGTAAGGTTCAAATAATAACTTATGGGGCGCCTGGTGGCTCAGTCGGTTAAGCACCCGACTTTGGCTCAGGTCATGAGATTTCGGTCAATGAGTTCAAGCCCCGCGTTGGGCTCTGTGCTGGCAGCTTGGAGCCTGGAGCCTGCTTCCGATTCTGTGTATGTGTGTGTGTCTCTCTCTCTGCCCCTCCCACACTCATACTTTGTTTTTCTCTCTCTCTCAAAAATAAATAAACATTAAAAAAAA